TTGTTTTAAATGACAACTACCAACCTCATCAAAAAAAGCTTTTCCTGGATTACTTGAATCATTTAAACTTTTTAATACCACATTTTGCCTTCCTAAATAACTAAATTCCTTTTTATTTTTGTTGTAATTAATTATTCTTCCTCTTGTCCATTTTGCAGTAAAAATTGAACTAAATCCACCTTCAGTTAACTTTGTTACTTTTTCAAATTGTTCAAAAGGTATCCATTCTAAAATATGTCTTGGCAGAGATGATTTCATTTGACATTGTTGAATAAAATCATCAATTATGTTATTTCCAGATGTCCAAGTGGTAAAAAGATTCTGTAATTGTAAACTAATACAACTTTCACAGAATCTATCAGAGCATTTTGTCAATTCACACTTGTTGCGTTCTTTTGGATTGCCTGATTCATGTATTGCATTACTTAATTCAAAAGTATAAACAAATTCTTTTTTACAAAATTCTTTTTCATTTTCAGAAAGTTCTTTGTTTTTTTCAACTAATGAAAAAAAATAATCTTTTCTACTTTCTCTATCAGGATTAACTGCTGCATTATTATATATTTCATTATAAATTTTAAATACAAAATTCTCTCTTTCTGGTGATAATAAATCATAGTATGACATTATATAAAAATATAAAATGTAAAATCCGACTTGGTGTTTTAATGAATATTGTGAAGTTTTTTTTTTTTGAGAAAAGAAAGAAAGGTTGTCGTGTTACGGTTCTTTATATTTTGTGTAAAGATTTTTTTTTTATAACCCAAATTTGAAATGTTGGTTGCACGGGAAATATTTTGTTGTAAAAGGCTCAAAATCAAAGGGTAATGAATGAATGAGTCGTTCTTTCTTTTTTTGCTACGCTGACGAACCAATTGAAATTGAACAAAATATTTTCGTTATCCGAAAATGATAAATGATCGTGTTTATTTTTACTTCGGTGTGTCATGCAAATTCCCATTGCTATCTATTTTGTAATCAAAGAATTTATCTATTTTTGTTCAAAACGTCAGGATTAAGCGAGGCAGATACTTGACCGAAAGGAAGTCGTGTTTCGCTTTTGATGTTTTTTGCGCGGTGTCTATCGTTGTCGATCGTTAGGCTTTCGTCTTACTTGAACGTTTCGGACGTTTAAAATGACCAAAAACTTATGATGTTGCCTTGGAGCCTTTACTTCAGGTTCCAGATCGTCAAAGACTTGTCACACAATGCGTTAGTGTAGCATATTTCGGATCACGAGACCGGGATTCAAAAACACTTTTACATTTTAACAAACAATATGCACAAACTTTTTTGATCGAGTTGAATATTTTTTTTGAGTTTGACCGTTTAAGAGATAATGGATGATCTGGATAGGAAAAAGTTTATTTTTTAATTTCTTTATAAGAAAAAAAAAAGCTGTTTTTTTTTTACAATCTTTGATTCACACAAAGGATCTTTTATTAAATTTATTAAATTCATAAACAATTTCCTTTGTATATGTAATCTTTAATAAATTTTTGCTCAAAGCAACGAATAAATGATATAATAATGACTGGCTAATGTTGATGATCCGAACGAATGTATAGATAGCTTGGACGTGCAAAGCCAAATCATACATAGAACGCCACTTCTGCACTACATGCTCGACTCTCGAGTTGAATGCAACGTAAAAAGACAAGCCAACGCACCGTTTCTTGATCCACGAGTGGGAGTAGCGGGCCTATTTATATGTTTTTGTTGTAATTTATTAGACTGCACCATCTGACCATAGTATAGTCTGTTTTTATTTAATATTGCATTGATCATGAATGCATGACATGATGTTAAGATGCTTTGCATCCGATGCTAATTTTGAGAAGGGTAATATTTTCAAAAATCACTTATGTTCCTGTGACGGATTATTATAATAATTAAAAAAAAAAAATGTAAATGTAAATATTCATGAAAGAAAAGAAAAATATGTAAATGTCCAACTCTTTTTGCATATCAGCTAATTTGGTTTTTTGTATCCTTTTTGAAACCCTATATCTTATTATTATTGTGCCTTGATGTTAAACGAATATTTTTTTGATGTATAAACTGGTCAATAGAATGATAATTAACCTAAAAAAAATTATTTGGTTCACTAAAAAAAACTATTTTAGCATTCAACAGCCCGTCATAACATTATGATCATACCATACTGAATTTTGGGTACAAACAAAATCAGCACATATTGTTGCCTGGCTAATTAAAAATTACAAATTCATCTAACTAAAGCCACCACACACATCTCCATCCAACTGGTAAACAACCAACTTGTAATAAATATAACACTAATAACAATTCGTGTGATCAATTCAAGGATGAAACAACTTCTGCAACAACATTATTTTTATTTTCACTACTCATCTGGAAAAAACCCTCAAAAAATTGTATACAAATTTGTGTGCATTATATTCATTTAATATTAATCTTAAATGTTATATGTACAATAAATATCCAAATGTGTGCTTAGTCTAGACAATTATAAATATATTAACCAATATCTCAAATAATTTTTAAATAAATTATTTAATTATTGTTATCTTTGACTTTTTGTTTAAAAGCTATTTTTACTAAATTAAATAATTTCATTTTGTTTTCAATATTCTCGAGAACAAATTGGAAAACATAAATTAATTAAAAAAATATTTATGTTCTTTAAAACTATAACTGCAATAATTCATCCAAATGCTATTTACATCAATAGATTATTAATTAGAATTTACAGCTTATAATGGAAATTATTAACATATTAATTATTAAATATTTGTTATTAAATACTAATCTTTTTTTTATAATTTGGCCGAATCCTTTAATTTCGGGTCAAATTAAATTTTTATTATCTATTCTTATTTTCATTATTACTTATTTATTAATAACGTGTATAATTATTATCGTCTGAATTCGTGTTACGTCCCGTCTATTTAATTAATCCGTAGCACATTCATATTTATTTAACTTTATTTAGTAGAGATTAATGACGATTATCCCAGACTGGGCGAAATCGCCCAAACCGGGCGGAATCTCCCAATTCGGGCTATTATATAAAGAACTTGATTTCGATCTAATGTAAAAGTAACTTGGTAATAATAATAAGTTAATTAGTTTCAACTAAATAAAACTAAATAAATAAAATAGAAATATTTTATTTAAAACTTTTATCTTCTTTAACCAAAATTATTCACTAATAACAAAATCAATTTGTTGAACCCCTATTCATTCTGATCCATGCAAAATCAAAAAAAATTGTTATCACCAATTAAAATACGCTCTCCCAAATTTAATCAGTGACAGTTGTGTAGATTTTCAAATTCTCCAAAAATAGAAATGCAATACCCAAAATAAATTGTATATTTGAAGCCAAGACCTTCCTCTACAAAATCATGATTTCATCTCATGTTGTTGTGGAGAATTTGAGCTTCAAAGTTGCACAAGTTTATTGAATTTACTATGTTTAGACCTAAAATGATGTGTTACACACTGCAAGTGTGTAAATTCAAATACAGCTTGTGAGGTGTCCAATAAATATATAGGTTAAAATATTCAAGTCCAATAAAAAATATATATATCCTTCTGTCTTGCCTACAGCTAAGGATTCTCAATTCTACCAATAGGAGCTATCCAATACTCTTCCACTCACCCTGGAGCTAATAAATTCCGCTCACCAATAGGAGCTTTCTATAAGTGCTTTTCCTTCCTTTCAGTACTAATACTAAGTACTGTTGGCACTAGCCTAAGATAATAAAATAGGGTCTTTTATTTTTGTGCACCCGCACAAAAATGCAGGGGTGCACAAATTTAAAAATCACTAATAAAATAAATTTTTTTGTGCGTGGTATATTTTTTTTAAAAAAAATTATTTTTTTATTAGCAATGCACACAAATTTTAGTATGCACCTACATAAATAACTACATTTACATACATGATAGGTAAACATTACATTAGCTTCCCACACCCCCAACCCCACCCCCATCCTCACACCTAATTAATCAAGATTTTTTCTCTTTCCACTGTCATTATTAGGACAGGTAGCACGATTATGTCCAGTATTACTACACAATCCACACTTATTTTTTCTTAGATTAGATTCACTTGTATTACTTGATTCCAATGGTCCTTTGTGTCTTTTTGTACTTGGTGGTCTTCCTTTTGGTTTTCTAAGAATAGGATTTCCAATTTGATTAGTGTTTTCTTTATCAATTGTCATTGGTAACTTCTCTCCAGAATTACTATTATTAGAACTGTATTGTTCTGATTTGAATGCTTCAGCATTCTTTGTCTCAATATAATTCTTTAACATTTCAATAAAAGTTTCATCAAGAGATTTACATGCTATTTGATTTGCTCGTTTAATTAAACCTTGTACATTTGCATAATACATCTTTTGTTTATTAATAGAAACATACTGATTACCACCTGTGTTAGTATCAGAACATTCTACTGCTGTATTTAAAAAAATGATGTTATTGATGTCCAAAGATAGTAATATGACATCATTTTTAAACTTGTTTGAACAATAAAAAGATCGTTTCTTCAGATCTGGATGATTTGTAACATACCAACGTGGATTAATATATCCAACATGGAACACTGCTTGAGAAGTGCATAACATTACACTAAAATAATGTCGACAAATTGTACCACGATTTACAAGTGAGAAGCATGAACATCTATACAATCCATTATTTAGTAAAATAACCAAGTGTTGTATTTCTGTTGTAGTCAAGTAACTTATTCCCCAAAGGCTTTTAATCATTAAAGCATCACATCCTGCTAAAAGTTTATTGAACATGATCTTTTTAACATCATGTTCTTCAATACACCCATCATAAATTGATAAATCTTGTGAATTGTTATCCACTATATCAGATTGATCTAGTGATTTAACCACATAATTGAAGGATAGTTGTATTTCATTTTGGTGAATCTTTTGAATAGAAGGAGTAACAAATTCTTTAAGTTCATTTAATATATCTCCAAATGTACTATATACAATATCTCCAGACTGCAAAAATTGAAGATTGTTCCTCCAATTCTCATACACTTCATTATCTGCTTCTTCCTCTAACCTTTCTTGCACAGCAAAAAAAACATCCAATAGCATAGCATTTGAATTATATAATAATCTTTTGAAAGATGCATTAGCAGATTCACATCTAGATGTTGACTGCACATCAATAGTAAAATAGTCTGTTGAATAAGCATGTGCCCAAGATGTTTTAGTAGGATAAAGAGTTTTATTAAGATAGTTTACTGCAGTTGGATATTTTTCTAGTAAAATTTTCCATCTTTTCTCAAATATTTCTTTATCAAGACTATTTCGACAAACATAAAATTCCTTTTTAAATTCATCAAACAAATTACCAAGCTTTGATCTCAAACGTAAAGTTAAGTTCTGTCCTATGTGCCACATACAGTGCAAATAAATTGCTGTTGGATATTTCAATGCAACTGCTGCACCCATCCCAGGGTCAGAATCAGTCACAAATATCTTTGGTATAGTTCCAGTAGCATCTAATGTACACTGAAGAACCCAAGAATAAGAATCTTTTGTTTCAGTATCCATTAAAGCCTGTGCAATTATTCGTGATTTTAAATTGTTATCAATTGCTATAAAAAGAGAAAGAGACATTTCATATCTGTTGGTTTTGCATGTGTTATCATTAAGCACAACATCATTATATTGGTGCCATAATTCAATTTGAGATGGGTTCATCCAAAATAATCTTGTTAAAGTATTAGTTTGGTGGTCCCAATCTTTATAAATAATCCAACAAGGATCCTTTTCTCTTTCTTTCTCTAGCTGCTCAAATAGCATCACAACATCATTAATAAGTTCATCTTTGGAATGATGAAATTTATAGATTACTTTATAAAGATCTTGATTATAAACTTTCTTGTGGTATTTAGCCTTCAACATTCGTTTTATTGCAAGGGGTTTTAAATGTCCATGGACACACATCCATTCAATATCATTCAACATGGGTTTGGTAAATGCTCTTTCAGCTTCAAATCTTCTTGCAGAAGGATCAAGTGAATGCCCGAAATGTTCATTATGAAATTTAGTGATATATATGAAATCATTTGGATTATTTTTGATAGGATGAGAAAGATTTAAATGCCAATCACAATTTGTTCTTTGCGATTTTGATGGTTTGTTGCTGTTTTTGTTTTTATTGGTACCTTCACAACTACAAAGAAGGGTTTGCTTTCGTAATTCACCTCCTAATTTTTCTGATCTACCCTTTCTAAGCCTAAATCCCTGTTGTTGTGCCCATTGTTTAATATATTTAATGCTGGCTTTCCACGTTGGAAAATTCATATTGGAATCTAATTTTATATTAGTTTCATCATTTATCTTCTCCTCCTCCTCTTCTTCATCTTCAGTATCACTATCATCAGGAATATTATCTAAAACTTCAGTTGGTATAATAAGATCGCTTTCAGAATCACTTGAAAAGTCAACTTCGTTCATAATTTATTTAAGAAAAAAAAAAAAAATAAAAAAAGGAGTGTATCACGCGTTTAATATGTATGTAACGCGTCACAAAAAAGTTTATTTATTTTCCTTTTTTTTTTTTTTTTTTGTGAACAGATGCACACTAAAAATATCATGCATGGGGTGCATTTGTGTGCGTGATGCACAAAATCTAAATTCCCATAAAAAAATGATAAAAAAAAATAACATTATTGATAATATATAGTTCCTAAAATTTTGAATGATAGTAAATGATTATTTAAAATTAAATGTTTATTAGAGTCTAAAGAAATATTACTTGTTTCGATTATGTTATCTTCTTCATTTTCTTCTAAGTCCAAATTGTCAAGAGAGCTGACACTATTTTGAAAATTATTACTATTATCAATAATCCCTTTTTTTAGTAAATCATTTCAATAGTGACATTGACTTGAAAGATTCAATAAAAAACATTCATAATGATATGAATGTCCACATGCTAAGGTACAACCATAAACATGAGATAGCTCACATCTGTTACCGGAATTAGATTCTGACAGGGATATTTTGGACGAATCTCATAATTCCGGGTCAAATTAATTCTATTTCTAT